TGCCCACACCCCCCCCTCCTCCAGTGTCTGGCAAGTTCATTGACGAGTTCAAGATGGCCTGCGGCACAGACGCAAAGGCCTCCCTCAAGCACATGATGGGACACGTGCACTCCTTTGTCACCGCTGCCTGCAAGTGAGGGGCCCCGCCCGCCTCTCGGACGGGCCTTGATCCACCCCTTGGGCCTCTGTCACACTGAGCGTGACAACACGTCAAACACTCACATCACTTAGCTTGATCTGGAACTGTTGGTGTATGTAGTCTGGCTGACGACTGTGACAAATGCCTGCCCGTTCGCCATCGCCCAGGGAGTACTTTGAGAAGTTCAGGCGTCACGTGTACGTGACCCCCAAGAGCTACCTCTCGTTCATCCAGGTGCGCCAGGCCTCGACCGCTCCTGCACGCAGCCGCTGTCGGGGCGGGGACGCTGCCTGTCTTGCGGCTTCAACTCCGGCAACTTGTACGCTGCAGTGCTGTGTATGACAGGGTCATTGCATTGCATAGATGAGCGTGTGTGATCCTCCTCATAGCCGGATTCGCCCCTCAAACTGAGCAATGCCACACTTACATTCCACCACCAACCCTGAGTCCCGCCCCGTCGCGCGCCTCCCCCTGATTGCAGGGGTACAAGGAGCTGTACAGCCGCAAGTGGGCCTACACCCGCGAGCTGGCGGCCTCCATCCAGGCCGGCCTGCAGAAGATGGTGGAGGCCAAGGAGGACGTCAACAAGATGAAGGCGGAGCTGGCCATCAAGAACCAGGTGCGCGGCCAAGCTGTGGGCCGGGGGGCGGGGGGTGACACGCCCGTGGTGTGGCTGAGTGAGTGCTGCCAAGGACTGAGAGGCGCCTGTCGACCGCAGTGAATGCGCCATACGCTACCAGACGAGGGGCGGCGTGGCTGGACTGCGCACGCGGGGCGGTTAGGTTGGATGCATGCGATAGACGTTGGCAATAATTGCTGCTAGATTGATGCTGTGAGCATCTTGTACCAACAATGTGGGGCGCCCCGCATCCGCCGCCTCCCGCGGCCGCGCCCCGCAGGAGCTTGCCGTCGCCTCGCGCGAGGCCGAGGCGCTGCTGCGCTCCATCAGCGAGAGCACCGCGGTGGCCGAGAAGGAGAAGGCCAAGGTCGCCGTGATCGTGGGCGAGGTGTCGTCCAAGGCGGCAGAGATCGCCGCGGTCAAGGACGACGCGGAGCGCGACCTCGCGGCCGCAAAGCCCGCGCTGGACGACGCGCTGGCCGCCCTGAACAGGTGCGCAAGTGTGCGCTTCGGCGCGTGCATTATGAGCAGGCGGGTTGTGGAGCGCAAGGCCCCGCCTCATGCACGGCACTGGGTAGACTTGCCCAGAGCATGCAGGGGGCGTACTCGCGACATTGCACCTGCGTGACGAGCATTTAGAGGTGTGCCCCTACACCAACACTCAACCCTACCCCTCCATAAACCCTAAACCCTGTTTTCTTTCTTGCCCTCCACCTCTCAACCCCCAGCATCCGCCCCTCCGACATCACGAGCCTCAAGGCGCTCAAGAGCCCCCCTGACATTGTGAAGCGCATCTTTGACTGCGTGCTGCTGCTCAGATACTGGCCCATCAACTCGGTGGGCGCAGGGCCGGCCAGGCCTTGCATCTTGTAGGCATCCAAGGTGCTGGAGGACGTCCTGCACACAGATGGCATGCTCTGCTAATCGACCACGCTTGCAAAAACCTGGCAATGAGCAGTCAAAATTCTCTCACTCAAACCTGATCCGTTTGTTGCGGACTCCAATCCCTGCGCGGCGCGCAGGTGTCGTGGCAGGACGTGAAGGGCTCCATGGTTATCGCCGGCAGCTACGAGGTGGCGGTGAAGATGATGGGCGACATGACCTTCCTCACCGCGCTGCTCAACTTCCCCAAGGAGCAGATCAACGACGAGACGGTGGAGCTGCTGCAGGTGGGCCTGGGGCAGGGGGGGCTGAGGGGCGTCGGCAGTGGGTGCGGGTTTGACAACGCTCTGATTGAGGCACGTGGCTACTGCGAGTGGATGTTGCTGTTGGCCATTTCTTTTCTAGCATGGACTGTATGCCACATGTCTTCTCTGCGTCCCAGTATTCGCTCCGTCACGGTCCCTCATGTCTCTCTTGCCAGCCCTACTTTGCCGCACCCGACTTCAATTATGAGAGCGCACGCAAGGCCTCAGGCAATGTGGCAGGTGGGCTTCCGGCTGGGGTGTTTGCCGACTGATGCGCATAACGCATAACGCATGCGCGCGTGCGCGTGCACACAC